AGGAGATCATCATGCACAGTAATAGCAATGTTATAACGATGATCGACTGTGAAAGACTTGGCTACTCTGATCAATACAATGATCCAAGGCAATTCTAAAGGACTCATGATGGAAAAAATGCTATCCACCTCCAGAGAGAGAGCTGATGAACTCTTGAATACAAACTGAAGTATAATTTGCTCACTTTGTTTTTTGGGTTTTTTTTTTTTGCTTTTTTGTGACATAGCTAATATGGAAATATGTTTTGCATGATTTCACATGTATAATTGATATATTGTTTGCTGTGTTGTGGCAGGAAAACAGTGGGAGGGAGAGAATCTGGAATTCAAAATTTAAAAAGAAAAGAATATTTAAAATTTTTTAAAAGACTAGCAGATAAAGAAATAATTGTTTAATGGTACATATGTTGACAAAACCATCCCTCTGATTATATTACTACTACTACCACTACCACCACCACCACCACCACCACCACCACCACCACCACCACCACCACCTGACCCCAACCCACTCTAGCCGAAATCTCCCTTATCATCTCCCTAAACCACAAAGAGCAACCTGGAAATCCTGCCAGCAGATTTAGGAGTATGCAGTGGAAACAAATCAAAATAAAGGTAACAGCAAAAGGTCATTTCAGACAGAGCACCATCAAAACAGGCAGAACACTTACTGTTGAAGATACAAATGCCAAGTTTAAAGTTTTTTTCAATACTTCACGCTTACCAAGTGCTTATCATACTGGTCAAAATAATGTTTGTGGTTCATGGTATAGCAAGAGATGTGCCAGAGCCCAGCCTCTACCAGCTCTCGAGAGCTGGTAGTTAAATGTTGTATGGTCATTGCTGTACACCTTGGGAATTAACCAATGCTACAAATCACGACTTTATTTACTGTTAGGTCTAAGCTTAAGCAAAAGTGCTAGAGAAAATTTTAATAACCTAGGCTCGATTTATTGATTGTCTAGGCTTAAGAAAGTGATGGAGAAAATATTAATATTACAGATAAAACAAAAGTGCGTGTCATATGTATATTTTTTTCTTCCTAGAGAGTCAGTTGTTAAACATTTACCAATGTGTACTTGAATGTAGCTAAATATACTTTGTGAGAGCCAAGATGGCAGTGTAAGAAGTAAGTGGCTCTCACACTCCTTACTGACCTCTGAAAGCCCAGAAAATATCACCCCAGGAAAAAACCTGGAACAGCTGGGCCAGCAGAAAGATGATGGTGGCAGCAGCAGGAAGCTTGGGAGATTAATGGGAAAGGCCCCTCTTGTTCTAGGAGAGGGGGAGCAGTACAGGACGGGAGTTGTCCCAGCAAGCTAGCAGCAAGCCCCACCTCAGCAAACCAGGGGGAGATCCTGAGTCCCAGCATGCTGGAGCAGGCAAGCACCAAAACCAGGACACCCCTCCCCCCCCCACCAGTGCCTCAGCACAGGCAGGGGAACCAGTAAATACCAGCGTGGGAATGACCATGTACACTGGCATTCTCTAGCAGCCAAATCTCCCAGTGCTTCAGCACAATTCCAGGCTGGCAGAAATCCTCCAGCAGCCAAACATTTGAGTGCTTTAAAGAAGCTAGGGTGATTAGGCGTCCTCCAGGGGCCAGACTCCACACTCCCAACCCTAGAGCTCCAGTGTTACTGATTCCAGCCCAACACCAGGTAAGCTGCCAGAACCCTACAGCCAACACCTGAGGCCCTAGCGCACACAAAGCCAGTGACCAGGTCCCAGGCTCCCAGCACACAAAGCTTGGGTCAGCGCCCCTTGTGCTCCAGCAGCAGAGCTCAACTTTAAAAGCCAGGAAATAGGCAAATACCTAAGTAGAAAGCAGAAATGGAAATAACCATAGGTTCTTATAGGGACAGGGATGATCAAGACACAAATTCAGAAGAGGACAACATTGTCAATATACCCACAACTGAAACCTCAAAGGGATATATGAACTGGTCTCAAACCCAAAATGCCTTCTTGGAAGAGCTCAAGAAGGATTTTAAAAGTCAAATAAAAGAAGTAGAAGAAAAACTGGGAAAGGAAATGAGAGGTATGTAAGAGAGAGTCAATAGCTTTTAAAAGGAAAGGCAAAAATTAACTGTAGAAAACAAGTCCTTAAAAAGTAAAATGGGCCAAATGGAAAAGGAGGTACAAAATCTAATAGAAGGAAACCATTTGTTAAAAATTAGAATTGGGCAAGTAGAAGCTAATGACTCTATGATATATCAAGAATCAGTCAAACAGAAACAAAAGAATGAAAAAATAGAAGAAAACATAAAATACCTCATTGGTGAAACAACTGACCTGGAAAACAGATACAGGAGAGACAATTTAAAAATTATTGGTCTACCTGAAAACCATGATGATAAAAGAGCCTGAACAGCATCTTTCAGGAAATTAAGGAAAATTGCCTTCAGGTCCTAGAACCACAAGGTAAAATACTCATCAAAAGAATCCACCAATCACCTCCTGAAAGAGATCCCAAATTGAAAATGCCAAGGAATATAGTAGCCAAATTCCAAAATCACCAGGTCAAAGAGAAAATACTGCAAGCAGCCAGAAAGAAACAATTTAAATATCATGGAACCACAGTCAGGATTATGCAGAACCTTGCAGCTCCTATATTAAAAGATCATAGGGCGTGGATTAGGATATTCCATAAGGCAAAGGAGCTTGGATTACAACCAAGGATCAACTACCCAGCAAAATTGAGCATAATCTTTCAGGGGAGGAGATGAACATTCAATGAAATAGGAGACTTCCAAACCTTCCTGATGAAAAGACCAAATTTGATCTTCAAATACAAGACTCAAGAGAGGCATAAAAAGGTAAACAGGAAAGAAAAAAATAACAATATGTTACTAATCAGGGCAAATCATTTACATCCGTACAAGGGAAGATGACACTTGTAACCCTTAAGAACTGTACCGTTATTATAACATTTAAAAGGGGTATACATAGACAGAGGGGTTGGGTGTAAGTTGACTTTAATGTGGTGATAAAAAATCAATTTAATTAAGTGGTGAAAAGGGATTGTTCTGGGAGAAGAGGAAAGGAAGAGACAGACAAAGATAAATTATATCACATGAAAAGGCACAAAAACCTATTACAGTAGAGGGAAAGAAGGGAGGTAGATGAGCATTGTTTGAACCTTACTCTCATCAGATTTGGCGCAAAGAGGGAATAACATAATCAGTTAGGTACAGAAATCTAACTTATTCTACAGGAAGTAGGAAGGGAAAGGGGAAAGAAGATGGAGGGGTGGATAAAAGGGAGCGAAGAAGTAGTAAGAATAAAGGGGAAGAAAAGGAAGGCAGCTGATGGAAGGGAGGGCAGACTGAGGGAGGCAGTGGTTGAAAGCAAAACTCTAGTGAGTAGGGAAAAGGAGAAAGGAGAGAGAAAAGTATGAACAGGTGGAAATAGGATGGAGAGAAAGACACAGATAGTAATCATAATTGTGAATGTGAATGAGATTAACTCTCCCATAAAACAGAAGCAAATAGCAGAGTGGATTAAGAAACCTAATCCTACAATATATTGTTTAAAAACCTGAAAAGACTTATATGAACTGATCCTGAGTGAAATAAGCAGAACCAGGACACTGTACATAGTAACAGCCACATTATGGGATGACTGACTTTGACAGACTTAGGTCTTCTCAGCAATACCAGGACCTTAGACAACTCTGAAAGACTCACGATAGAAAATGCTATCCACATCCAGAGAAAGAACTTTGGAGTCTGAATGTAGATGGAAGAATACTATTTACTCTCCTTTTCTTTTGTTGTTTTGTTTCTTTTTTCTTGTGGTTCTTCCACAAATTAGTTCTAATTCTTCTTTACATCAAGACTAATGTGAAAATATGTTTAATATGAATGTATAAGTAGAACCTATATCAGATTGCATGCCATCTTGGGGAGGGGGGAGGAAAGAGAGGGGAAGAAAACTGAAAACTCAGAATCTTATGGAAGTGAATGCTGAAAACTAAAAATAAATAAATAAATTATTTTTAAAAAAATAAATAAATATACTTTGTGGCAAGGTGTGGCACAGTAAATGGAGAACAGGGCTCAAAATCAGGAAAACCTAGTATAAAGTCCTGTCTCTGACACATACTGGCAAAGTGACCCAGATCAAGTTTCTGACTCTTTCAGTGCCCTAGGCAACTCTCTAAAAGCCTAAGTTACTGAATAGGGGACCCATCAGCATGGGAAAAGGGTGATTCCTGATTGGGAGTTCTCTAAATTAATGAAATTAAAGGTTGAGCCAAGAATGAATAAATAAATAATACACATTATGAAATACTAACATATATTATGCTAAAAGTGAACTGGTAAATTCAAACTGATAATTTTAGTATCTGTTCTAACTACAACTTACAGAGAGGCTTGAGCCAAGAGATGAAAAACTCCACTTTGCCCTTCTTTTTAAAACAGAACAATAATCAGTCCAACTATGATTCTTGAATTAAGGGTTTTTAGGCCAAATTTACCTCTTTGACACTTCCACCCATTGCTAGTTTTGCTCTCTGGGGCCAGAGAAAATAGTCTCTGCCCTCTTCCACATGACCAATTCTGAAGTGCTTGAAGACAGCCACCATGATCTATCTGAGCCTTTTCTTCATCAGGCTAAATGCCCCCAACTCTTTCATCTAATTCTTGGATCTAGAGCCCTAAAGTATATTGGTTGCCCTCATCTAGATACTGTCCAACTTCTTGATATCTTTCTCTTATAATAGTTGGCTAGGTTAAAACTCTGCCTATGGAATAAACCACCCAACTTTCTTATTTTTCTAAATGAATGAACACCAACCATTTCTGCCCTGGCTTCACGCACTTGAGTGAAGCAAATTGTGGAGTTATAAGACAAAGTTCTAAAGACTAAACAGGCAGATCAGAGTGGCTTTAGAAAGAAGAAAATACAGGAAGTAGTTTCTTAGACTACATAACAAGATGAGAGCACAAACTGATCTATGTGTATTGAAAGAACAGTAACTGAAACATTTCCTACCTGTAAACATGGCATGGAAATAAGGGCTGCAAGCTGCCAGAACGACTCGATGTGCTGAAATTTCCATGTCGTCGGCCACAATAGTGACATCACAAAGCAAATTTTGGCTGTTTATAAAACAAGAGAGAAACAAATTATTCAATTGGAGAAAAGCATTCACAATGACCACTGTGAAAATGAGGTAGCGACATGCCACTCAACTGGATGCTAAACTCCTGCAACTTTAACCCAAGATACCATGAATCTGAACCAGGAAACTGAATAAAAAATTAAAGAGGACACTGAAGACTTTGAAAGAGCTGATCCCAAGACCTTGCCATAAAGTCAAGGTCCTTGTTCCTTACACTATCACTCAGAATCTAAATGAGTATTGGGGAAAGAGTGCTCAACTTGAGGTCAAGTGAGACCTAGGTCTGAATACCAGCTGTATGACCTTGGGCAACTCACAAACTCTCTGATCCTCAGTTTGCTCATCTGTAAAATGGGAATAATAATGTTTGTAATTCCTACATCATGGGTTTCTTATGAGTGAAATAAAGTCATGTAGTATCATCATAGTAAAACCTTGGCAAACCTCAAGGCACTATATAAACGTTAGCTTTTATTTATTTTGAAATGGACAACTCTTCTTATGAAGGTCAACCAACCTGTTACATGTACGTTTGATTCTCCGCCCCCATCTTTTCCTACAGATTGCCTCATCAACTATCCCACACCTCTTCAAATTTTCAACCTCCCCCCGATCACTCCTGGTTCTTTCCCTAATGACTTCAAGTTTCCCCCATCCTTAAAAAACTTTCATTAGATCCTACATCCTCTCAAGCTATAATCTGATGTCTCTCCTCCCTTTCTTAACAAACTCTTAAAAAAAAAAAAAAAAGCTGATTATATATTCACTGTATCTATTCACTCTGGAACCTTCCAAATCCCTTTCATCCTCATCACTCACCTGAATCTGAAACCCTTTCCATCCTCATCACTCAAACGAATAGGCTCTCTTCAAAGTTACCAATGACTTTTAATTGCCAAATCTCATGGTCCTTTCTCAGTCCACATCCTTTTTAATCTATCTGCTGCATCTGACATAGTTACCATCTTCTTCTCCTATTCGCTCTTTACCTTCTAGGTTTTTGTGACATTACTAAGAACAAGTTCTCCTACCTTTGTTATCACTATTCAGTCTCCTTTGGTGTCATCATCCAAATTATAACCCTAATATGGGTCATGTTCCCTATGGTTCTATCCTAGGCCTTCTTCTCTCTCCCTCTACATTTTCTCTCAGTAGCCTCATCATCTCTACGCAGGTAATAGAGATATTTATATCCAGCCCATCTATTCCCTGAGCTTCAATTCTGAACTACCAATTGCCTATTAGACATTTCAAACTGGATGCTCTGGAGACATCTCAAACTCAACACATCTAAAATAGAACTCATTATCTTCTCCCCCACCCAACTCCAAAGCACACCCTCTCCCAAACTTCTCTACTTCTGGCAAAGGCACTGCCTTTCTTCCAGTCTTCTACATTTGTAACTTCACCATCATCCCCATCTTCTCATTGTCCATCACCCCAAATACCCAATCAGTTGCTAAATCTTACCATTTCTCCATCCATAGCATCTCTAGCACCCTACTCTTCTTGACTTGTACAGCTTCCACCTTAGTTTAGACCTTCATTGCCTCTCACCTATATTACTGCAACAGTTTCCTAATTGGTCTCCTACCTGAAGTCTCCTATTACTCTAGTCCATCCTATACACACAGCCACAAAATACTTTTTTTAAAGCATAGATCTGACCATATCATTTTCCTACTCAATCCTAGACTGCCTCTAGAATCAAATATAAACTCCAGTGTTTAGCTTTTAAAGCTTTTCATACTCTGTGAGCCAACCCAACTGGCTTTCTTCTGTTCTTCACCAGGATGCTTCATTTCCCATCTCTATATCTTTGCACTGGTGATCCCATATGCCTGGAATGCACTCTTTTCCTCCTTATCTCTGCCTCACAGAATGCCTCTCATCCTTCAAAGATATAACTCATGTATCATCTCTTCTCACCTCTGCCTCACAGTCCACTTCTTCTTTTAAGAAGCAGCAAAAAACATCATCTTCTACACAGTCTTTCTGAATCTTTCCAATGACTAGTGCCCCATCCCTGCCAAACGACCTTGTATTCAAGTACTCTGCATTTAAGCATTTAATAGTTATTCATTTTTATATTTATGCTGTATAAACTTATGTGTATGTATATATATGCATGTTTCACATATATTATCTATATGTATATGTATAAACATGTATATGTATATACCATATATACTACCTGTTATATGTACGTTACATGTATATGTAACATATGCTGTTGATATATATGTGTATATACAACACACAGACTATATATGTATATGTATATATCACATATACTATCTATGTGTGTATATGTATAAATACGTATGTGAATGTGTGAATATGTATATGGTGTATGTGTATATGTATATATATGTTTACACATACATACACACATATATGCACAAGTATATATATGCAAGTAAGGATTATTTTATTCTTTCTTCTTATATCCCCAGTACCTAGCAGAGAGGCCTGCAACATAACAGGTGCTTAATAAATGCTTGCTGATGAACAGAACTTGTTATCTTCTTCCTCGGTCCTTAACAGATTAGAAGGTGTAACCAATAGGAGAGGTGGTAAAGGTGACAGACAGAATAATTCAAGGGAGGACCCATGACAACAAAAGTAACTGCTGACTGTCTTGACATCCAAGTGATACGATAAAGAAACTCAAAAGTATACAAAGAACTTTGTTACTAATGCAAAGAACAAAAATGGATTTTCATAAAATTATTCCTGAGCAAACATGAAAAAATTTAAATTATGTTCAATATCTATTTAAGAAGGTAGAAAATACTGTTACATTTTGTTAAGATTTTAATCTAAAATAGTAGTGGGTTTTTTAAGTTTGAGTATTTGCAATATTTAAATCTTCACTTAAAAATTTACTTAAGCAGAATTACTCATTTTCTAAGGATTCTAGTTAGATGAGGTGATACTGTATAGCAAAAAGAAAAACTTTGTACTTTTAAAATAAAACATAAACAAGTAACCACAAAAATACCTATAATTCCTAAATGTTATGGTAACAAGATTAAATTGAGCCAAATAAAAATAATACAAGGGTAAGAACTCTCTTTCTCTAAACAAAGATAAGGGAAAGCTTAATTCAGAATAAAATAAAAAGCCTCTGAATCTCTATTTAGAAGGGAAAATATTTCACCATCCAAAAATAATTACTATTTATGTGGCCCATCAAGGTTTGCAAAGTACTTTATAAATATCTAACTTGATTCTTTTTTTTTTTTAAGGCAATTGGGGTTAAGTGACTTGCCCAGGGTCACACAGCTAGTAAGTGTCAAGTGTTTGGTCTGAGGCCATATTTGAACTTAGGTCCTCCTGACTTCAGAGCCGGTGCTCTATCCACTGCGCCACCTAGCTGCCCCTTCTAACTTGATTCTTACAACAACCCTGGGAGATAGGTGCTACTAATTACTTTTACAGATAAGGAAATTGAGGTAAATAGGTTAAGTCACTTATCTAGAGTTGCACAGCTAGCATCTGAAGCTGGATTTGAACTCAGATCTTCATGACTCCAAGTACAGTGCTCTATCCACTAGTTAAGCCCTGAGAAGAGTACCAACACATTGGCAAGATCCTCTATGAAGAAATTAGGAAAGGCATGGATAAGATTGGAGGGCAGCTAAATGGCCTAAATGAATACATTGTCAGGCCTGAAGTCAGGCAGACTCAACTTTATGAGTTCAAATCCGGCCTCGGACACTTACGAGCTGTGTGACCCTGGACAAGTCACTTTACCCTATTTGTCTCAGTTCCCTCACCTGTAAGATAAGTTGGAGAAGGAAATGGCAAACTGCTCCAATATCTTTACCACAAGAACTCCAAATGGGGGTCACAAAGAATTGGATACAACTGAAATGGAAGGAAGGAAAGAGGGAGGGAGTGAGGGAAAAAGGAAGGAAGGAAGAAATGAAGGAAGGAAGGAGGGCAAAAAACCAAGCATTTATTAAATGCTTACTACATGCCAGGAACTGTGCTGAATGCTATGATATAAACACAAGAAAAAATATAGTTTTTGCCCTCAAGGAACTTACATTCTAGCTCACATGAGAATCAAACAATGATAATTAAAGTGAAAACATAAAAACATGCTTTAAAGTATTGCATTTTTTTGGTTTGTTTAAATAATACAGGGTTTCCCTTGTGTTTTTTAATGCCAAAATAATGAGAGGTAATGTGCTATAGCAAAGAGGACTCTAGATTTAAACCAACAGAGGGAACTGATGAGATCAAGGATTCAACGAAGTATGCTTCTTAAAGCAATGATGATTATTTTCCCTACATGCAACTGTGGTTGAAAAAGTTGGTGTAGAACCAAGAATTCCATGGCATGGTGGACAGAGAATGGGACATGAAGTCAGAGGGCCTCAGTTTAAATCTCTTCAAGTCCAGCTTCCATCCACTGGATGTCCAGGTCTAACATCTCACTAGATTTAGCCAGACCAACAGATTTCAGATTCCACCTCTAGGATTTGCTTATTCCCTGGAAGACTTCCCCCTGCACCTCTCTGGGCTTCAGGTCCTCCATTTGTAAAGGAAGAGGGTTGGATTCAATGACCTCTCAGGTCCATTCTGGCTCTCAATCTACGACCCTATGAGCTATCTAAACGTCTCTTTCTACTTTAACATCTTATGATCCTTTACCCCAATGATGTCAAACTCAATTAGAAAAAGAAGGCCACTATACTACACAAGGATTCCTGTGGGTTGCATATTGACTTAGAAAACTATATATAAACATTATCAGTTTTCTACTGTATTTTTATTTATTTTGTTACCTATTTCCCAATTACATTTTAATCTGATTTGCACACATACAGCCCATGAGCAGTGTGTTTGACACCTCTGCTTTAGCCTGTACATTCTATACATTTTTAGCCCATGGTGAGAGAAAAAGGGATAGCCAGGAGATAGCTGGAGTACTCCATTGGTCTCCTTGTGGTATTAGGAGAAAGC